ATTCAATTGAAGTTTTTTATAACGAATTAAGAAAAAAAATTCTTTTGTGGAATTTTATTGAAAATAATTGAATTTTTGCAAAAAATTTTACTGTCCATAAATATTATTGAATTATTCGAAGAATTTATTAAAATTTTAGAAAATAATTGAATGATATCGATAAAAACGAATTAACAAAATAATTGAATTCTTTCGTTATTTTTTTTTTTTAAATAATTGAATTTTTGCAAAAAATTTTACTATTTATAAATGTTATTGAATTATTCGAAGAATTTATTAAAATTTTAGAAAATAATTGAATTATTTAGAAAAAAACGAATTAAGAAAAAAATTGAATTCTTTCGTGAAACTTTTTTGAAAATAATCGAATTTTTGCAAAGATTTTACTTATTTAAAATAAAAAAAAAAATTGTATTCGTTCGTGAAGTTTTATTAAAATTTTACGTTTGAAAATAATCGAATTTTTCCAAAAAAAATTTTAATTTTTATAAAAATAATTTAATTCTTACGAAGAATGTTATTAAAACTTTTGAAATTAATTTAAAAAAAAAATTAATTAGTAAATTAGTTAATAATTGAATGTTTTTTAAAGTTTGAATTTGAGATTATTTAAAAATTTCATATTTGAAAATAAAAATGTTGTAATTTGCATAATAATAATAATAATAAATTGAATATCACGTTCACAATAAAATCTATACAAACTTAACGAAAAACAAAAGAATACAAAAAAGACTAACTTCAAAAAATGTGGACTTTCAAAGAAAGAATACGACTATTATTATATGTACATAGTTAATTAATTAATTAATTAAAAATTATTTATATTAGTAATTTTAATTAGTAATTTTCTACTAATAATGTTATATATACAGAATTTTCTTTATGAATTCTAAAAATTTAATTCTTTTCCTGTAGGTACTTTTAATTAAATTATCTAACTTTTCGCAAAATTCAATGATTTCCTTGACCTGAGGCAACCATATTAATGCTTTATAAACGGAGTGACAAAGAAACGTTAATTAATTTTTAGTTTTGAAAAAGAAAAAAAAATTGTCTACGCAAAGCACACTTTATGGAAATCAGAGAAAGAATAAAAAAAAAAATGTTTTTCATATGTCGAGTTAAAAATGCAAGAGACTTTTATGCAGTTAGTTGAATTTAATGATGCGGCATTTAGGTATTTCTGTCATTTAGTTTTCTTGTGTTATTAACGCCCCGGGAAAAATTAAGAGCAAAAGAGGAAAGGTGAAAGAGGGAAGGTGTCTTTTCTTTTTTCCTCAGATATAATATACAAGCAGCCTGCGTGCAAGGCACACCTTGTGTCACCCATTGTTTATTATGTGCTAATGTCACTAACTCTGATCTCAAAGCTATATACATCGAAGATACACTTGGGCTTTTAAAGATCATTAGAGGTCTCCTTTCGCAGAATCTAACATTATAACACAACTGCAAACAAGTCCATCAGTTCCAAGAATCTTTGCCGGCTATTGATTTTTAATTGCATCTTGTTTGATCGTAATTGATTCATCAGGTGTGTAGATTCTTCTCTGATAGAATCACTAACTCTTGCTTCATGATTTATACAATTGTATCATGTATATAGTATAATCCTTTCTCTTTCAAAAAAAAAAAAGAAAGAGAAAAAAAACTACTCTCTTTATACTATACACAGAATTTTAAGTGCAAATGTCCTTCGAGAGGGGAAAAAATAATGTTATTTGTGTGTGGAATGAATTGACAATAATGTTTCTTTGCCTGAATTTTTAGAATCAATTTTTAGATATCGATGCTGATGAATTATTCATTGAGTTGAAGTTCTGATGTGAGGGAAAATAACAATTCAATTATATGTTGTTTTAAGTTTTTTTTAGTTGTTGAATATAAGTATCGGATCTAAGAAAAACGTTTATTCTTCGTCTAGAAACGATTTTTGTTGGAAAAACAAATTTTCTTTTAGTTCAGATTTCGTACTTTAACGAAAAACTATATTTTAATGCTTTCTGTACGGTTTGCAATTATATGGATTTTTTTTTAGATTTTTGCCACTAAAAGCTATCTCTTGTTCCTTTTTTTCTAAAAATTTGATCTATTTTAAACTCTTTCCTTTTTTTTCTAGTTTAAATGACTAGAATACATAAACTAATAAATAATATAATAAATCATAGTAAATTTTTTGAAGTAGAATTAGATTAGAATTAGTAATTGTGATAGAAAAATACTGGCCAACTTTTTGCTTTCAACAAATAGAAAAAAAAATTAATAATTTAGTATCAAAAATATTATTGTTAGTAAGAAATAACTAATTATTATCAAATATATCTTTTTTGTTTGCCTCATAAACTATAAAATTACCACGAATGCAAATACAAAATTTTTTCTATTTCTGACAATAACAGACTTTGCACTCGATAATTAGTTTTAAAAAAGTATCAAAAAGTAACTTTCAAACTAAAAAAAGTAGTAAAAAAGTAGCTATCGAAAAACTAAACTTCACGATCAGAAAAACTCGTTTTAGACACTTTACAAAACTTGACAAGAATTCCATTATATATATTTTATTTTCCTGACTTTAACTTAATTTTTATAAACAAATATTTACTTGTTTCTCATCCTGCTAATAAATTGAATTCCTACAACGAATTTAATAATTCGTAAAAGAATTTCAATATTTATAAAAATAATTTAATTCTTGCCAAGAATTTTGTAAAAATTTGTAAATAATTGATTTCTTTCGACTTATTTTTATATAAATAATTCTAAGTTAAATCATTAAATAGATGAAAAATTTTTATTATTCTCATGAAAAGAATTAAATTCTTACGGAGATTTTGACAAAATTTGTTTTAAATAATCGAATTATGTTTGGATATTTTATGAAAATAATAGACATTAAAAGTCATTGAATTGCGAAAAGTTTTTAAAAATAATTAAATTTTACAAGGAATTCAATTAAAAATTTTGAGAATAATTGAATGTCTGTGGGGAATATTTTATTAAATTTTTTTGAAAATAATTGAATTCTTAAAAATCATTTTATTATTTATGAAAATAATTGAATACTTGCGAACGATTTTATTAGAATATTTAAAAATAATTGAATTTTTGTGAAGAACATCGTTATTTATAAAAATAATTGAATTTTGCAAAGAATTTTCTTAAAATGCCTCAAAATAATTGAATTTTCGGGAATAATTTTGTTATTTATCGAAATAATTGAATTTTTTCGAAAAATTATTTATATAAATAATTGAATTGTTGGAAAGAATTTGATTAAAATCTAAAAGAATAATTGAATTATTTCAAAATAAAATTTAATTAAAATTGTATTTAAAATAATTGATTTCATTCAAATAATTTTATTAAAATATTTGAAAATAATAATTGAATTCCTGTGGAAAATTCTAATATTTTTGTAAATAATTGAATTCTTCCAAAGAATTTTATTAAAATTTTCAAAAATAATTGAATTCCTGAGAAGAAATGTATTAAAATCTAAAAGAATAATTGAATTATTTTAAAAAAATTTAATTAATATTGTATTTAAAAAAATAATTGATTTTATTCAAATAATTTTATTAAAATATTTAAAAATAATTGAATTCCTGCGGAAAATTCTAATATTTTTGTAAATAATTGAATTCTTCCAAAGAATTTTAAAAAAACATGTTTTTTTAATATTTGATTTTTTCGAGGAATTGAAATTAAATTTTTAAGAATAATTACATTTCTCGAGCAATTCCTGTAAAATTGTATTTAAAATAATTGAATTCCTGAGAAAAATTTTATTATTTATGAAAATAATTGAATTTCTGTCAAAAATTTTGTTATTTTCAAAAATAATTGAATTCTTGTTTAGAATTTTATACACATTGTTGTAAATAATTTATTTTTGCAAAATATAATAAATATTATGAAAATTTTATTTTAAATAATTGAATTCTATAGTGGAAAACTTTATTTGTAAGAATAATTTAATTTTTCGATTAATTAATTTAAAATAGTATTAAAAATAATTGAAATTCTTCGATGAGTTTTATTATTTATGAAAATAATTGAATTCTTGTTTAGAATTTTATCAACATTTTTTTTTTAAATTGAATTTTCATGAAAAATGTTATTATTAGTAAAAGTAATTGAATTATTTTGAAGAATTGTATAAAAATTTTGTTAAATAATTGGTTTTATTCGGAATTTTTTTCAAACTGTTATTCTAAATTAATTGAAATCCTGTGAAAATTTTATTATTTATGCATGAAAATAATTGAATTTTGAATGAATTTTATGAATTTTTTTTTTTTAAATTATTGAATTCTTTTTCAAATTTTATGAAAATAGTAGATATTGAAAATAATTGAATTCTTTTGCGAAATTATATGAAAATACTAGATATTGAAAATAATTGAATTTTGTATATTTTTTGAAAATAATTGAATCGTTTTAAAAAATTTGATTATAATTTTTGTGAATAGTTTTTTGATTGGTAGTATTAGCGAATTTAACCCAAATATTTATTGTACAAATAAAAATATAAAAATCGAATATTTTTATATTTTTATTAATACAATTTTCATAAATAAATAAAATCTAATCTAATTTTCAAATATATTCCCCGCGTTTAGAAAAAGAAGAGAAAAAAACAGAAAATCACGCACTAAAAAAATCACCATTACCGCACTTATAATGGAGTAAGAAAAAAAGTCTCGTTCTAAATAAAAATACCCATAATTAAAGTCTCAAAAGTTTTTAAATACAGTCTCATGATGGAAACTTGCTTTCGAGTGAGGAAAAAAAAGAAAAAAACTGGCTATTAAACTTGACTAAAAATGTAAGAAGTTATAAGGAAAATGCAATTTGTGTGGGTTAACGGTATTATACTGTCAGCAGTTTTTTTTTCTCCAGAAACGCCGGAAATAGCGGTTCGGTTATTGTGAGAAGGGTTAAAGAAACTTCTTCTTTTTTTATTTTTTTTATTTGCTTTTTTGAAAAGAACTTACTGAGGCGAGAATGGTGACTAGATAGCGTTGAGTTCTCTCGTAGTCTAAAGTACGATTTACAGTGACTTGGCCTTGATGGGGTAGATTAATGCTGAAGTAACCATATCCGTCAGCGGTTGTAACCCTATCTCGTCCAACTCCATCGCTATTTCCAATCCCGGTGCCATCCCCAGGTGCAATGGAATACTCTATAAGAGAATTCACTCCAGCATCCGCGTCTACGGCGTGAACTTTTTTGAAAATTGTCGAGCCCACTGGCGTTAACTGAAATTAAATCAAAATCCAAATTTTTTATTATAATGAAAATTATTATTTATTATTAATATTACAGAACTCGAACCAGTGAAAGTATTTAAAAATGCAAACTTTACGGACCAAAAATGCAAAATTACGGACCAATTACAGACAAAAATATAACCAATCCGAGTCAAATAAGAAAAATTTTACTTAAAAACTATAAATTAAATTTATTCATAACTATAAAATTTATATTTAACATGAAGAAATCGATCACTCCAAGTTTTCGACTCGGAATGATCGATATCTACATGTTAAATAATAATTAAAGATGGCAAATTGATAAAATTATTATTTTATACCTATTATATAAGAATATTATTACTGTAACTTTTTTAAAATTATTTTCATTATTTAAATTCAATGATTATTTTCTAAAATTTTTAACCAAAATTCTTCTATAAATGCATTATTTTTAGGTAATAATTTTTGAAAAAGTTCTTTGAAAATTTTCAAATTCATTTGCTTACAATTCAATTTTACAAAATTTCAATTATATTCATAAATTCTTCAATTAAATATATATTAGAAAATATAAACTTTAAATAAACTTTTTCAAAAAATTAATTCTACAGAATAGTTATAGTTAAAAATAAGAAAAATTCATATTTACAAGATTTTAATTCAAAACCTTTTCATAATTCAATTATTTCGTAAAATTCATGCAATAATGCTTCTAATATTCAATTATTATTAGAAAATTAATTATTGAGAATTCAATTATTTAAATACAAAAATTAATAATTTATCAAATAATTGAATATTTCTTAAAATTGAATTTTTATGAAGAATTTTATCAAAATTCTTAAAAATAATTGAATTCTTTCGTCAAATTTAAAAAAAAAACATTTTAAGAATAAATGCAATTTTCTATCATTTTATTTAAAATTATATAAAAAATAAATTAAATTTTACAACAAGTTTTGTTATTTATGAAAATAATTGAATTCTTGCACAACTAATTTTATTAAACATTTTTTTAAGGAATTGTATTCCTGTGAAGAATTTTATTTGTCAACATAATTGAATTCCGGAGAAAAATATTTATTATTACTTATGGAAATAATTAATTTTTTGTAAAGAATTTTATTCAAATTTTTTTAAATAATTGAATTTCTCAAAATTTTTTCAAACTTTTTGAAAATAATTAAATGTCATAGAGAAATTTCATTAAAAATTTGAAAATTGTATTTTTTTTTTGAGAAAAATAGAAACCTTGTAAAAAAAATTTAGTATTTATTAAAATAATTTAATTATTGCGAAGAATTTTATAAAAAAATTTTAAAATAATTGAATTGTTTCAAAAAAAAAATTTATGACAACTCTTTTTTAAATAATTGAATTCCTGTGAAATTTTTATTATTTACGAAAATAATTAAATGTTTGCGAACAATTTTATCAAAATTTTTCCCAAAAATTTTATTAAATTGTCTGAAAATAATTGAATTTTAATATTTGTCAAGATAATTGAATCCTTTCAAAGGATTACGTTAAAAGTTTTTTAAAATTAAATTTAATTAAATTTTAAATTAAATTTATATTAAAAAAATTAACTAAATTCAAATTCAATTATTTAAATACAAAAATAAATAATTTTTTGAATAATTGAATGTTTCTTAAAATTCAATTCTCATAAAGAATTTTATCAACAAAATTTTTAAATAATTAAATTCTTCCTACGATTTTTAATAACATTTTTAAGAATAATAACAATTTCCGAGAAATTTGATTAAAATTTGATTAAAAATAATTGAAATTCTGCAATGAGTTTTATTATTTATGAAAATAATTGAATTATTGCGAAGAAATTTATAAAAAATTTGTAAATAATTGAATTCCTGTGAAATTTTTATTATTTTATGAAAATAATTAAATGTTTGAGTAGAATTTTATGATAATTTTTTTAAATAATTGAATTCTTTTGGAAAATTTTATTAAAATAGAAGATATTTAAAATTCATTGAATTGAGGAAAATTTTTGAAAATAATTGAAATTTTGCCAAGAATTTTATTAAAATTTTTGGAAATAATTGAATTTTGTAGAAGAATTTTATTATTTCTAAAGATATTATTATTATTGTTATTACTAGCAATTAGCAAATGTCACGAGTGAAATACGGTATTAAATTTATTTTTATTCATGTAATTAATATTTGTGAAATAATTATTATCAAATATAAATTTTCATAGTGAAAATTATTTATAATCATAAATATTTATATATTTATAATAATTATAATTATTTATTTATAAAAAATCCATCTATAAAATTTCTTTCAGCGCTTATATAAATTGAATTTTAGACCGCTTCTCCCTTGAATATAAATTTTCATTCTGCTTATGACGTGAAATCTTAACTACCTCATTATGATTGATGAGAAAAAAATATCCAACTTCCTTGTATATGTATTAGTAGAAAAAAAAATGAAAAAACATTCATTATTTTAAAATATTTATTAATTCCCATATATATCAGAAATTATTAATCTCCATAGTTGATTAGAAATTTAAATAATTAAGTTGTTATACTCAAATGTTATTATCATTGAGGGAATATTACGGCATAAAAATCATATACTTGCAATTATGAAATAATACAGTTATTATTGAATAATTACAGTGCAGTTAATAGTTGTAAACGTTTTTTTTTCTTTTTTTTTTCGCTATTTTCCCGAATGGGAATTAACGGTCTCTTACTGGCGAACTATATATTTATAATACGGATCACCTCATAAATAATTTAACAATTGTTTTTTGTATATGATGCTTCTTTGTAGACTATATTTTATAGACTTGATTCGACAACTTTTTCTTATTATCATCATCATCTCATGTAATAAAATATAAAACAAATAATTAATTCATTAAAATTTTAATGCAGTTCGTTAATTTTTTTTTCTTGAATTGAATTGAAGAAAAAATTTGAAAAAGTAGGTTAATTACTAATTTCAATAAACAAATAAAGTAACAATTGAATTATCAACAATTTTTTATTGTATTCTTAGAGTTATTTTTTACGAAAATTAAATAATTAATAATTAGGCAATAAATAACTAAATAGTCAAAAATTAAGTAATTAAACTAATTAATTAATTATTAAGTAATTCAGCACTGACGAATCAATAATTAAGTAATAAATAACTAAATAATTAATAATTAAGTAATTAATAACTAAATAATTAATAATCAAGTAATTAATAACTAAATAATTAATAATCAAGTAATTAATATCTAAATAATTAATAATTAAGTAATTAATAGCTAAATAACAATAATTGATTAATAGTTAAATAAACAATTATTAATTAATTGAGGCAAAAAAATTAATAATGAAATAATTAAAATAACAGAAATTATCTAAATTGATAATAAAATAATATAGATAATGATAAATTAATTATATAAATTTCTAATTAACTTATTGTTACGCCTATTATTTTATTATCAATTTAAATAATTCTAATCATTTTAATTACATAATTTGCGGTAATTGCATTAGAATAAAAACAAATTTGAAACACATTAAAATTCTTACTGGCGAATTACAAATTTCAAAGATGTACAGTATCTAAGGGGAATAAATTTAAATTCATCTCGTTGAACGAGAAAGGAAAGTTCATTGCGGATGAAACAATGGTGGAATTCAAATTTAAAATTATCTGAGCACTCACCTCTGGGACTGTCGTTTCATATGGTGTGTTGACAAATTGAGGGGCATTGTCATTAATATCCGAAAGTCTAACTATTATGGGAATAGTTCTCTTTTTATTTGTTGACTTCACTGTACACGTCAACTGTAAGAAAAAAATTAAATTAACTTAAATTAAATTAAATTGCAGTTTAAATATATAATTTTCTAAATTATAGCATTTATGTTTCGAAAAAAAATGTATTTTTCTTTTGTCTTTTTATCCCAAAAAAAAAAAAACGGGAAATAAAAAATCTTTTTTGTATTAACGAAAAAAGATAAAGAAAAAGTCCTTTTTTTATTAAAAAAAAAAAAATAATAATAAAAATTCTCATTTCGTTCCAAAAAAAAAATTTTCTTTTCGGATAAAAAAAATGAAAAAAATCTCTTCTTGTATAAAGAAAGAAAGCGGAAAATTTTCTTTTTGAATTTAAAGAAAAGAAATAAAAATTCTCTTTTTCTATAAGTGACGCGATCTGAAGAAAGGGACCTTAGAAGCAAAAAATTATAGGTTATGTTTTCAATTTTTTAAATGAAAATACAAAAAAGGGATCAACTGTCAATATAAATCATTGATGTTTAAGTCTTCATTACAACTAAAATATTTAATAAACACTGATTTTAATTCGAAATAAATAAAAAGAAACTTTCAAACAAGAAAAAAGTAACTCTAACCCAACCTTAAAGTGATTTGCTTCTAAGGTCCCTTTCTTCAGATCGCGTCACATAAAAAAAAAGAAAAAAAAAATTCTCTCTCTGCATCACAAAAGAAAATTAAAAATTCTCCTTTCGAATAGAAATAGAAAAATAAAAATTCCTCTTTCCAATTAAAATAGAAAAATAAAAATTCTCTTTTCGAATAAAAATTCTCTTCTTTATTCAAAATAGAAAAAATAAAAATTCTCTTTCGAATTAAAACAAAAATAGAAATACGAAAAAAAATTTCGTATAAAAAAGAAAAAAATTTCTATTTGAATTAAAAAAATTAAAAAGAGAGATAGAAATTGTCCATTTGAATCAAAGTAAAAAATAAAAATTCTCTTTTCGGACAAAAAAAAAAGAGCAAACATTTTTTTATTGAATTTAAAATAATAAGATAAAAATTCCCTTTTTCTATTAAAAAAAGAAGAAATAAAATTTATGTTTTTGTAATTAAGTAAATAATTTTCTATTTTCTTTTTAAAGAAGAGAAAAAAAAATTATCTTTTTGCATTGGAAGAGAGAAATAAAAATCCTCCTTTTTGAATCAAAACAGAAATATTAAAAACCTCTTTCGAATTAAAATAAAATAAAATACGAATAAAAAATAAAAATACGAAAAAAATATCTTTCTGAATTAAAAGAAATTAAGAGATGTTAAAATTTTCCATACGAATCAAAATAAAAAAGTTCGATTTTCGTCCAAAAAAGAAAGCGTAAATTTTTTTTTTTTAAATTAAGAAAAAAAGATAAAAATTTATCTTTTTTATTAAAAAAACAATTAATAAGATTTCTATCTTCGTGTCAAAAAAGGTAAAAAAAATTCTCTTTTTATATTGAAAGAGAGAAATAAAAATCCTCCTTTTTGAATAAAAACGGAAAAAATCCTCATTTGATATAAAAAAAGAAAAATAATTCTCTTTTTCTATCAAAAAGAGAAATATAAAATTTTTTCTTTTTCTATAAAAAAAATTCTCTTCTTCTATCAGAAAATAAAAAGAAAAATTCCCTTCCAGTCCCAAAAAGCAGAAATATGAACAAAATAAAATATTAATAAACAGTAAGTAAAATAATTTTCATTTTTTTTTACACACCTATAAATAATAATAAAAAAAATTCTTTTTCCTCACCTGAAAAACAATGTGCGACAAATTTTCAGCGTCCCTATCAAGTGGCTCGACAAGCTGTAACTTTTTTCCCTTGAGAATAAAAAGTGGCTTTCGTCCAGTGAAAATAAGTTCCAAGACTATTTCTGTCAGTGGATCTCCAGACACAGGAAGCTCTTCTGGCGCGGTCGCTTGATCGATGGCTGTTAAGAAAATTTCAGTTCATGTCAATCAATCACAAGAGAGAATCCAATAGCATTATGTAACCAATGCTTTTCAAGTAAACAGAGAATCGTTACGTGATGCTAATTTCAAAATAACGATCACTTTACATTACCTAATTGTTCCTTTCACAATAGATGGAGAGAGAAAATACAGTTTTCAACGCGAAAAAAAACCCTTTTATATTAAATTATCATAAACAATTTCAAAAAATAGGACAAATTAAAAATTTTTTTTTTTTACATTATTTTCTTTTTTTTTATATATTTTCTTATTTTCATTATTTATTTACGTTGTTTTTTTACCTTATCACTTTTTAATTATTTCCTTTTTATATTTTCCTTTTTTAGACTATTTTCTTCTTTTTATATTATTTTACTCTTGTCAGAGTATTTTTTACCTTATTTTCTTTATTCTACTTTATTTTATAATTACTAATTCTTTTTAAATTCTATTTTCTTCTTTCTACCATTTTTTTTTTTTTTTTTTATTATTACAAATTGTTTTTTCACTTTATTTTCATTTTTCTACGTCTTATTTTATTATTCCCAGCAAAACAAATTAATTTTACAAAATGAGAAAAAACGAAATTTCAATTATTGTTATTGAAAATATGTCCTATTTTTGGGGAAGAGGAAAGTAAATTTGATCACGTAATTTTTCCTTTAACCTTGTCTCTACATGGTTTGATCGTGTTTAGTGATATAAAACCAATATCCACAAGAAGACAGCAACTATCTTTCCTTGATATTGAACCGTACAGAAAATGACAAAAAAAAGAGACAATTTTACGTGAAAAAGTTTCCCAATTCCGAGGACGAAAATTAAGTTTCAAAAATGACAAATTATAGCTTTTTACAATTTATATATAAATTATTGTTGTCAGGAAACTTATTTTTCAAAACCAGAGATCCTTTTTGTGATTAATAGTGAAATAATGGACAAAAAAGAAAAAAAAATTAAAAACTGGTTTTTCATCTCGATTATTGAGAGAGATTTCTTTATAAATGTTCATTAATATTCATAATATTTATTAATATTCTTCAAAAATATTTTTGTTAATAAGTATTGTGTCAGAAAAAGTCCTAAAATTTTTATTGCAAAATAATTAAAAAAAAAACGGTTTTAACATGAAAGTAATAATGATTATTTTTTATACAGTATAATAATTATTTTTACAGTAATAATTAATATTTGTTATTTATTGAGAAATGGTAATTATTTGTACAGCGATAATAATTATTTTGAAATGAAAAGGATCACAATTTTTATTACAAAATAATTAAAAGACGGTTATAAAGAACAGTAATAATAATTATTATTTATACAGTAATAATAATTACTTTTTATACAGTAATAATAATTGAGGCTCCGAATCTTGAAAGGGCGCACTTTCAGTATTGATTTTAAATGGTAAAAGTGCCCTTTCAAGATCAAGAGCCTCAATTACTTTTTATACAGTAATAATAATTAGTTTTTATACAGTAATAATAATTTCTTTTTCTATAGTAATAATAATTATTTTTCATACAGTATAATAATAATTTTTTTAAACATAAATAATAATTATTATTTATATAGTGACAATTATTATTTATGCTGTGATAACAACTATTATTCATAAAGAAATAATAATTGAAGTATTAATAATTTATTTAATGATGATAAAGTGTAATTATTTGTAAATTATGAATAAATCAAGGTAATTTAACAAATTGCCCTTCCGTATTCATTATATCCAGACTTCATTGTAGACATAGAAAAAATAAAAGGCCTTTCTCATCAGACAATCATTATTTATCCAGATAGCAATTGATTACAAGTCATTATATCAATTTTTCGCCATGTACGCATACCTTTATATTTATAATAATTATAACAGCAAAATAATTTTCTAATAGAAAAACTGTAGTCATATAGTGTTAGACTAAGAAAAATATTTTATTTTAACCTCAAAACATTTCTGGAAAAGTTCAACTTTTTGTCATATTTTTTTTTTAGTCTCCTTTCTAGACAGCAATTACTGTTAAAAGTTTCCTCTTTGACATTTCTTCTATTTTCCTTCTTCCTTCAATTTTTTTCTCCTATTTTATTGTGATTCGAGAAGATTTTATTGCAAAGGAAAGTCCATTCTTGTATTTTTTTCTGTATTCTCTCTTTTATATACAGGATATACACTCAGAAAAAAAATTTATTTGAAACCACCAGATTTATTTGAAATAAACAAATTTTCATTAAACCAAATAAATATATGACTAAACTATATATATATATAGTTTATCTATAATTAATCTATAACTATAATTTATTTGCTTGATTCAATTGAAAGTGTGTTGTTTCAATCAAATTTCTTTTTAAATTTCTTTCAAATCAAATTATATTGTTTATTTAATTTTTTATAATTTTTATTCTTGCTAATTATGTAAAATCAAATCAAATTCAAATTGAAAATTCAAGACATAGAAAAATTGATTCAAGCATAATTTTTCCTGAGTGTATTTATCGTAATATGGTAATTCTCCTTTATTTATGGAAGTATTTATAAACATTTTTATTGTTTACTAACAAATTTTATAAATAATTTGATAAAATTCACAACGTTTATGATCAATGATTTTGAGGAAAAAATATTTTTTTGTATATAAATTTATAATCACATTTAAAATGTATAAAGTATATAAAATAATAAAATATATAATAATACCTATAATAAATATGCACTCAGAAAAAAGTTTTTGTTGATTTGAAGAAATCACTTGCTTTGACTTGTATTTTCGATTGAAAATTAATTTTTCTTTTATTCAAAAAAATATATTTGATTCAAACAAATTTTTCTTTTTAAATTAAAAGATTATTTCTTTGACCCTATAATCAAAGATAAATTTTTTTTGTTTAAAGAAAACAATTTCTTGAATTCAAAGAAAAATTATTTAAATTAAAGAAATGTTGTTGAAATAAAAGAAATATTCTTTGGATTAAAAACCCTATTTTCTTTGAAAGAAAAATTTATTTTGAATGAAACAAATTAACGAAAAGAGTCTAAGAAAATGATTTCTTTAAATTATAAAATTAATAGATAATAATAAATAAATAAGTAATTAATTAAAAATATATCTATTCTGTTTATTTTATAAATAAATAATAATAATATAAAAATTAAAATATAAATAGAATTAATTTTTGAACATAAATTAATGCTAATTATTATTTATACAAAAATTTCTTTCAATTATTATTAATCATAAACGCTATGAACTCCAGAGACTTATGTAACATTCCAGATATGGTTATTGTAATCATGGGCTTTGTCAATTTTTTCTCCAAGAGTATCAAGAATATGCAAAAATTTTTCACTTTTTTCCCATCATAACAGTTATATTTCATCTCAAGGGGAAATTCATGATTCGCGGTTTTAGTGAAATAACACTTTTTTGTCCCACATCTTTTGAAAAATATTTTGACATCTCTTGCATATATTTTTCTTCCAATTTTGTTGAGTAATTTTTTTTTTTATAAAGTAAAAAAAGATTATTTTCCACAGTAAAAAAACATTTTTTTAAAAAATAAAAAAAATTTTAGTCAACAAATTAAAAAAATTTTATTCTCTGACCTAAATATTCAACTGTTGATTTTTCTTCATAAAGATATAAATTTTTCAATAAGAGGTTAGAATTTAAAAAAGAAAATAATTTTTTCCAGAAGAAAAATCGAAAAATGATTATTTTATAATTGTCTGTTTAAGAAAAATCTACATAAATTTTAAACTAGACAAACTAACAATGCAATATTTAAAAAAAAAACTCGATTGAATAGTAAAACTAAATGTATGAAGAAAAACTTTTCTTACAATTTCCAACATTTTTTTTTATGTATATTTTCCCAACAATTATTTATTACAAAAAAAAAAATATATAACCAAAATATTCAGAACTTACAGCTTCCTTTACTTTCTTCGATGTCGAGAATAATATTTGATTGTCCCGTTTCCACTTCGCATAGTCCTGAAACAAATCGTGTAAATTGAGTTTATTGTGCCAACAAAAATCATTTTACCGCGAAATATTTGGTACCGAAAGACACTTAGTAACGTTGAATAAATATACAGAAGTACTTTATTGCCAAAAAAATTTTTGCCAAACTTTCACAATATAGAAATAAAATTAAAAAATAAAGAAAATAAAAAATTAAGAAATTAAAAAAGGGAAATAAGTAAATAAAAAAAAATAGAGAAAATTATAGGAAAATAAAGAAAGTAAATATAACAAGAAAAATAAAGAAACTAAAGAAGGTGAAGAAGATAAACAAAATGAGCAAAAAAAAATAAAGTAAAGGAAATAAAGAAAATTTATTTAATAAAATTAAAATCTTAATAAAAAATTAAGAAAGTAAAGATAACAAGGAAAAAAAGAAAATAAAAAATTAAGTAAAGTAAAATAAATAATATAAAAATTAAAGAAAGTTAGGAAAATAAAAAGAGTAAAGATAACAAGAAAAATAAAGAAAATAAAAAGAAATAAAGAAAATAAAGAACAAAAGAAAATAAAAAATTAAGAAAATAAAGAAAGTAAAAATAACAAGAAAAATAACAAGAAAAATAAAGAAAGTAAAGAAAATAAAGGATAATAAGAAAAATAAAGAAACTAAAGAAGGTGAAGGAAATAAACAAAATGAGCAAAAAAATAAAATAAAGGAAATAAAGACAATAAGGAAACTAAAGAACGTAAAAAGAAATATAAAGAAAATACAGAAAATTAAGGAAAATAAATGAAGTAAAGAAAATGAAGAAAATAAAGAACAAAAGGGAAATAAAGAAAATAAATTAAAATAAAGAAAGTAAAGAAAATGAAGAAAATAAAAAAAATAGGGAAAATACGGGAAATAAATAATATAAAGATTAATAAAAAAATAAAGAAAATATAAAGTAAATGGGACAATGTTGTATCATGTCTTGTTTGTAACTGTTTAATTGTATTTATCAAGTATATGTAATTGTTTGCGTGCTAAGAAAGTCTATTTATTTTCCAACATTGACACAATTTTCATCAGCAATTGTATAAATTTTCTACAGAAGAGACGTATCTCACAAAGATGTATCTCACAAAGATGTATAAAGATGTTCATAAAACATACATCTCTTACTTTCACCAAAGTGCACAAATCTCTGTAGAGCATAAGTTGTATGTTAAAGAACCTGTCCCGAGCAATAACTTAAGTGAAGATTTATTTTAAAATAATACTCCTCTCACGGCACTGTAAAATCACCGAGAATCGGAATTTAATTTCAAATAAAATTATTCTTTTACTTTCGAACATAACTTATACACTTCTTTTAGTTTGTCTCATATATTCAAATTAATTATTCAATTTTTATTATTTTTCATTCAAATTAACTTTATATTTATTACACGATAAAAATTAAATTAATTTATTACACTGAGGAAAAAATTTATTTTACTCAATTAACCGATTACTTGTCTATTATTATCAATTAAATATTTACTTCAATCAAGTCATTTTTATTTAAATCAAGTAAATAATTACAAAAATTAAAAAAATTGAATTAAATTAAATTAAATTATAAAAATGTTTTATAAAATAAAATTAGAAAAAAAAAATATTTTATTTGAACCAATATTCAGTATTTGTAATAAATAGTATGTAACTATAAATAAAATAGTATTTAATTTAATAAAATAAAACTTATTTGATTCAAGTAAATATTTATTTGATAGACAAGTAATCGGTTATTTGAATTAAATAAATTTTTTTTCAGTACGTATATTTATTTATTGTTAAAAGAAATTTATTATATGTTTTATTATTGTAATAAAAAATCCAAAATTAATAATATTTTTTCCTACTTGAATTGGTGATATTAACAGAAAGTTATAACATAACTGCTTTCAAACAAGAAAAAAATTTCAATCTTTGTAGAGATAAAAAAAAGCGAAAATGAAATCATTCTTTATATTGGACGTAAATAATTTTTTAAAAGAGCATAACAGCAGCAAAAAAAACACTTCTTTACATAATATAATATTAAAATAAAAATTCACGTTCAAGAAAAAATAAAAATTCATATTCTTCTGGTAGTTAAAATTTCACAGTCTCTCTCCCTTATCTCACGCTATAAAATTTAAATTTTAAGAATGAGTTTTATATCTTTACGACACGTACCTATAAAATATTTATTTATCCTTGAGATTGGTAATTTTCGGTTGTCCAAGTTTTACATTATATGCGTGTATACTTTGTACTTATTTGAATTTTTGCAAATTCATAAAGCAAAGACTGAATAAGAAAAACCAGTAAATAAATAGTTATTGTACTTATGTGCATATGTAGGAGTAATAATTTACAACGCACGCAGAAATAAAGAAAAGGGAGGGGAAAAAAAATAAAAGATATATAATTATCCATTGAAAATAATTTTCACCTTTAAAATTAGTTTTCCTGGTTATAAATATAAATTTTAACTTTCTTTTAAACATCGCACGTAACATTATTTCTGCAGATAAAAATTAACGAAACTTTTCCCTTCTCCCAAGATTATGACAATTTTTTCTGTTTATGATTTTATAATATGTAAATTATGCACTAAAGGACTATAATTTTCCTTTTTTGTAAATCCGATTTCATGTAATGTAAATAAAATAATAAATAAATAAGAAAATATAAATAAACGAACACATAAATAAGTGAATAAATAAGTAAATAAATTAATAAGCAAATGAATAAACAAATGAATAAATAAATAAGCAAACGAACAAATAAATAAATTAATGAATATTAGTAAATAAATTAATAAAAAAATAAATAAATATATAAACAAATAAATAAATAAATAAATAAATAAATAAATGAACAAATAAATAAATAAATGAATAAATAAATAAATAAACAAATTAATAAATAAATAAGCATACGAACAAATGAATTAATAAATAGATAAATAAATGGACAAATAAATAAATTAATAAAATGATAAATGAATAAATAAATAAACAAATGAATAAATAAATTAGCCAACAAACATATGAATAAAAAAAATATAAATTTATGCAATTGTCAATTTATATAATATAATTGTAATAATATGTAATAATAATAATGGTAAATAATAATAAATTTACTAAATTAGAATAATTTATGGAAAATTAATTTTAGATTTAAATTAACATTAAAAAAATGAATGAAATTTTATTCCAGAAAAGAAGAATGTCCATATCGATAAAGAAATATGGGGAAAAAATTATTATAATATAAAAAAGATAAATTTTTTGGAAAGGAAAGTGTAATGCAAATGCGGCCCTGTTTTGTAAGTAGGTAACGGAGAACGCAAATGTCACGTGGCACCGTTTGAGAGTAGTAAAGAGACTTTCGAGAAGCTTTGTACTACTCTTATTGCTCGACCTACGACCATAAGCGATCGGCTCGACCTTTACAGAAGGAACTATCGAGAGAAATGGTCAGGCGGTGCCTGCAAAAGCAAAAGAAGAATAAGAAGAAGAAGAAAAATAAGTGACAACAGAAAATCAGCCGCGGGAATTACCGACACATTGTTGCACTTCGTTTACTCTTGCGGTACATTCGATTTCTGGAATCCAATTTCAAGGCTAAAATCATTTCATGAAACTTTTCCTGGCACAAATGTTATTCTTTGAAAGGAGAAACGATAATTCTCGTGAAGAAATTTGAATAATTAATTAAATAATTAAATCTAAAAATTAATATTTACATAAATAATTAGATTAAAATATTAATAATTAGGCAAAAAGTTGAATTAAAAATTAATAATTAAGTAAATAATTAAATTGGGACATTAATAATTAAATCAATCAATAAATAAAAAATTTAATATATCCATTAACCGAAAAATCCAAGAAAAAAATTCAAAATACAAAATAAAAATATCCAAAGTCAAAAAATCCAAAATAAATAACAAAGTCCAAAATAAATAATGAAATATGTGAAAAAGACACTACACGTTTTTACTTTTTACGCTATAAAATCGGAATTTAAAATCCAATTGTTTACATAAATAATAAAATCTATCACAAAAATTCAATTATTTTCATAAATTAAAAAAAATCTTCACAAAAATTCAATTAAGTTTACCTACTTTCAATTCACAGTCATCGACATGAGTAACTCAAAAAAAATGGACTATTTCATTCAACGCAACCATTTTAATTTTAATATCTCAATTTTTTAATTGCATTTTTAATTTCTTTGGACTTTTTGACCAGGACAAAAAATCCAAGAAATAAGTCCAAAGTGAAACTATTTTTTTTTTTTTACTTTTTTGGATTTTATTTACATTAGATTTTTTGTTTTAGATTTCTTGTCCGGATACCTAATTAAATAACTAAGAAAATTAATAAGTTAATAAATAAACAAGTATACTAACTAAATAACAAAATCGATAAGTCAGCAAATAATTAAGAAATAAATAACTAAATATGTAAATAAATTAACAAATAACTAAATAATTAAATCGGTAAATAATTATTAAATAAATAAATCACTAGGAGAGTAAATATTTTAGTAAATAAATAAATCAGTATACAAATAAAAAATAAATAACTACATAAGTAAATAAATGATAAATTATTAAATAAGTAAACAATTTAATAAATAATTAAATAAATAAATCAAGAAATAATTATCTATAAAATAAATAATTAAGAAAGTAAATAAATTTGCCAAAAGGAAAATACAATCTATATATAACTATGAACCAACTAGAGATAAAAATAGATAAATCAGTAAATAATTAAATAAATACCTATCAATAAATAAATATCAAAATTAATTAATTACACACGGAGGATAATGTGTGCCATTTGGTGAAAGAAGAGAAAAGAAAGGAGCAAAATATAATAAACGATAGTTCATTAATTCTCTATAAATATAATTGATGACTTTTTAATTATCTCAGAACATCTATGGATATAAAATGCTTACCAGCTTTTGAAGTGACATCCCTTAGTAAAAATGTCACGCATAATAAAATGCACCAGACCCTCGTCCGCGCCTGAAACAATGGAAAAATAATCTTTAGAAAAACAAACTCTCGACAGTCAAAACAACATCAAATGTATGACATATGCACCTGGCACATATACTTTAAATTTGTATGTACAGTGCGAAATAGAAAAAAACTCTTTGATTTCAACTCATGCGCGAATGAATAATAAATTCCTGTGTGCTTTTCAACTTTGAATTGTATACCATAAAACATGTAAAAAATATTATATGTTTCAATACGAAATCTGAATAGAAACTAATATTATACACATAATTATAGCTTCTTTACTTAAAAATTTAGTTCTGAAGTTTTTTAAAAAAAATTTGAAATACAACTCTAAGCCGAACTTTAATCTGGAAAACTAAATTTGAACATTGTAATTAAGTTCAAATTTTTTCATCTGGAAATAAATATTTTTTTTAATTGCAGAAATTATTCTTTGAAGTTAAAAAGAATTTAGTTTATTATTAATTTACGTTCTGTAAATCTAATTATTTTTACAGGAATTAAAAAAACTGCTTTTATTTTTGAGCTGAAAAATTTATTTCACGTTTTTTTGCTTTTTTCTTTTTTTTAAAAAATAAACATTCTTCTTTACAAAGCGGAAATATTTTTGGAATTAAAAGGAATAAACTTTATAATTATTCATGTATTTCATAATTAGTGGAAAAAGTCCGTTTCTGTCAGAGACAAAAATAAAAATTTATTTATACTGTGGAATCTGTGGAACAAATAAGTTACAGTCGGGCTATACTTTTTTTTTTGAATTTTTCAAAGAGTGATAAAAGTCAATTTTAATCTGGCATATTAAAATACATTTTTAAAACTACTGGTAAAATTAGTAACAGTCGGGCGTATTAAATTTTTTTTGTAAATTTCAGCATCAGTAGAAAAAGGGAGTTTTATTCAGACGTTACATTAAAAATTTTTTTTAAAAATATTTTTTAAGAAACTTTTTTAATATTTTAAAATACTTGTTTCAAAGTGTCAGTAAGTAGTAAGAGAAAGTTTTAGTCAGACGAATTAAAATTTTTATTAATTTTTTTGGTAAAAATAGTAAAACATTATTTCAATCAAACAATTACGGTAAATGCAGTTACAGTCAGACGAATTGAAATTTTGATATCAGTAGTAACAGACATTTATAGTCAGACACTGAATTAGAAGTTTTAATGTTATTTGTCAGACACTCCATATATATATTTTTTTTTTGTTGAAAGTAGTAAAAGTCAACTTTAGTCAGACTAAATTATAACTTTTTTGTTAGTAATAATAAAAGTTATTACTCAGACTTTGTATTTTTTTTTATTTTAGTTTCCATCAGAAAATTATAGTCAAACGAATATTTAACTTTTGTAATTTTGTGGTACCAGTAGTAAAAGACAATTTTAGTCAGACATTGCAATGTAAATTAGTTTTCTTTTGTAAGTATAAAAAAAAGTTATTCAAAAAACAAATTTCCGTCAGAAAATTTCAGTAAAACAAATATTTAACTTTTGTAATTTTGTGGTACCAGTGGTAAAAGACAATTTTAGTCAGACATTGGATATAAATTATTTCTTTTTTGTAAGTATTAAACAAAGTTATTTAACGGACAAATTTCCGTCAGAAAATTTCAGTAAAATGAATATTAACTTTTGTGATTTTTGGTAGCAGTAGTAAAAGACAATTTTAGTCAGACATTGGATATAAATTATTATCTTTTTTTTAATTTTCATCAGAAAATTCCAGTCAAACGAATATTTAACTCTTATAATTTTTAAAACATATCAGTAGTAAAAGATAGTTTTAGTCAGACATTGGATAAATTCCTAAAGAAATTCGAAAAGAAGAAAAAAATCCCTATCGGAGAATTCATTTTTTTTCTACAGACATCATTAATCGAAAGGATGATAAAAATGATAAAAACCATATCTTAAGATAAGTAAAATATCGAACTGAGTGTAGATAGTGAATTCCCATCTCAAGGCAGGATGGTCGATAAAGTCTTATTGATACCTCGCGTCTGTTGATGTATTTTTCTGATGGCCAAGAGACGGTGCAATGCCGGCCCTTATATACACGCAGCAGACACGTGAGCACACGCTATGATCTGCTTTTCAGAGCACGTCCGTATCTACACGGATAATATTTATGTTGAACGACAACGACGACGACGACTCGGGACCACAAAGTTATAAAAGTGCTATCTTGTAATTTATGACATTGTTCTCCCCTTCCCCGGATATATTACAACCAAACTTATTGACAGTGCAACACAACTGGTACAATTTTAAAAAAAAATTCCACTTTCTCCTTTTTTGTCTATTTTTTCTCAATTTCCATTTCTCTCAATTAAAAGTGTTCACAATTTTTCTAATAAATATCAAATTTATGAAGTAGAAGATTCGTCTGACTGTTACTGCTTTTACTACTGATATAAAATTTTTGCAAGATATTTTTCATTGTCTGACTAAAATTGACTTTTACTACTTTCAAAAATACAAAGTCGTCAGACTTTGTATTTTTGAAAGTAGTAAAAGTCAATTTTAGTCAGACAATGAAAAAAAATCTTTAGTTGTCAGACTATCTCTTTTGCTACATACAAAAATACGACTTTAAATTCAATTTCTGACTATAACTGTCTTTTACTACGGATACTGTAAAAAATTATAAAAATTAAATCCAATGTCTGACTATAACTCTCTTTTACTACTGATACCGAAAATTATAAATATTTAAGATTTATCTGACAGATTTCTTATTTTTCCAGGACATTCATATGTGTAACAGGGTTGCCACAAGTCAGGGAAGTCAAGGAATTCAGGGAAAAGTCAGGGAAATTCGAATTGGTCAGGGAAAAGTCAGGGATTTTTACTAAAAATACTGGAAAAAATTAAATTTTTAGAATTCATAGGAAAATTCTGAATTTTGGTGTCTTTTTTGTTTGCCTTATAAACTATATGAAATTGACAAGAATTCTAATACAAAATTCTAATAAAATTCTTCTCCGAAATTCAATTATTTTCAAAAAATTTAATAAAATTCTTGGCAAAATTTCAATTATTTTCAAAAATTTTCCTCATTGTAAAATATTTTTGATATCTACTATTTTAATAAAAAATTTTCCAAAAGAATTCTATTATTTTTAAACAAAATTTTAATAAAAATTTAACAGAAATTCAATTATTTACCAATTTTGTCGCATCAATTCAATTATTACAAATTTTTTAATAAAGTTTCTCGAAAGAATTCAAATATATAAAGAAAATTGAAAAAAATAGTCTGAAAAATTCAATTTTTCCAAAAATTTTAAATAAAATTTTTTTAATAATTCTATTATTTAAAAAAATGTTGACAAAATTCTTTGCAATAATATTTAGTTCATTAAATTGCAATTTTAATAAAATTTTTCTATACAATTCAATAAGTTTTTAATACATTTCTCCTTAAGAATTCAATTATTTTCATAAATAATACATTTTTTATGGGAATTCAATTATTTTTAAAATTTTTGCTATAATGCTTTATAAGTTTGAAAAATTATAATAAAATCGGTCATAGAATACAATTATTTTCGTAAAATACAACATTTTTTCTAAAAATACAAAATTTTATTGTCAAAAATATTTTTAAAACTCTTCGAAACAATTTTAATTATTTTCGTAAAAAATAAAATTCTTCTAAGCAATTCAATTATTTAAAAAATTTTAATAAAATTCTTCCCAAGAATTTAATTTTTTTTGTCAAAAATAAACATTTTCACAGGAATTCAATTATTTAAAAAAAATTTTTTTTTAATTCTTTGTCAGATTTCAATTATTTTCAATTTTTTAATAAAATTTCTAAATAGAATTTAATGATTTTTAAAAATGTTTTTAAAAATTCTGAAAAATTCAATTATTTAAAAAAATTTAAATAAAATTCTTCACAAGCAATTATTTATTTTCATAAATAATAATATTTTTTTCTGGAATTCAATTACTTTTACAAATAAAATTCTTCACAGGAATTCAATTCTTTAAAAAGATTTTTAATAAAATTCGTTGCAAGAATTTAATTATTTTCATAAAAGTAACAAAACTTTCAAATATACCTACTTTCAAATAATTTCAATTATTTTTATAATATTATTATTATTTTATAATATTATTTCCAGGAATTCCAGGACTTCAAGAACCAGTAGACACCCCGGCAATTCATTTGACTAATCAAATTTTGTATTTTTGAAAGTAGTAAAAGTCAATTTTAGTCAGACAATTAAAAAAATCTTTAGTCATCATACTAACTTTTTTTACTACTTACAAAAAAAACGATTTTAAATCTAATGTCTGACTATAACTGTCTTTCACTACTGATACCGAAAATTATAAAAATTTAAGATTTGTCTGACTGTAATTGCTTTTCCTCTTTTTACCAAAAATTAAACAATTATACAAGAATATTTATATTCATTTGATTGATCAAATTTTGTTCAATTTTATTTTGGTAATTACTGATATTTTTTTTATCTTTTTTCCCATTTAAATTCTCACGATATATTTATAAAAATATTTAGTAATAATTTAAAGCAAATTACAAAAATAATTAGTAAAATTAACTTCATTTTTTTATAATTTCTGGAATAAATTCTATTTTTTTCGAATTTCAGTAAAAAATTACAATTATATTCTGGAGTTTTAGTTTTTTCGGAATAAAGAAGAGAAAAATTAAGTAAATTAAAGATTTAGAAAATTTCCGAACAAAAAAAAAGACAATATTTCGTCACAAAGTTCTGTTAATAAAATATAAAGTCCATCAGTGTGTAGACGAATGTTATCAAAATCTCAGATAAAATTCTTGTTCTTATTTAAATGAAATAGTAAACAAAAAAGGGGTTTAATTAAACTAATTCAATTAGTGGTTTCTTGAATTGATAAGATAATTAAGATTATCAAACTGTCTTCAAGAATGCTATATATAGTACTATCGATAATTAATGAATACTTTGAGTTTTAACGATAAAGAAAAATTTCCATTAGCTCTTG